AGAGGCAACAATTATAAGACGAAACTGTCATGAGAAAGGTGAGCCAAGGGATGGCCTCTATTCCCAACCTGTGTGGCACGTGGTATTCTACAGGACAAGCACCCTGGGAGGCCTGATTGTGAAGGCAAACCCCTATTCTGTAAAACTACTGTTTCGAATTCTCTGCTATTCTTTAGACGGCCTCGTATTCTGAAAAAATAACTTTGCTTTCTAGCCCGCTTTAGCCTGCTTGAATAATGAGGAAGATAAACTTAGCTGTCTGACCTTGTAGGCCAGAGACTAGATACGCCCAATGCCATGAGAACTGTGTAGTTTTCTAGGCCGCCAGCAAGATAACCACTAAGCGCACAAAGGGCTGGCTCTTCCATAAAAAGGGAAGTTCTGCTTGTAGCTTTGCTTAGAATTTGGATTCATTTCCCTAAGCCCACTGTGGTGAATAGTGTAACTCCAAACTCTCAGAGCGTTGCTTGGTTCTTCTCCGGTTTTTCTGTAACATGACCCCATCTGGCAGATAAGAAAACAAACTCAGGAAGACCAGAAGACTTGACTAATGTCACAAAAAGACCTGTATCCACGATACATGGAGTAGGGAGGGGAAAAGCCTGCTCCACAAATTCCTGAAGTAGAGACAGTCTGGAGCAGTGGTCGCCAACCTTTCGCACCTCACAGACCATTGGTTGTCAGCTGCTGGTCTGGAGGGTTTCAATGTGGAGTGAAGGATTAGGCCCTCCCTTAGAGCTTATGGTGAAGCCAGAGCAACTGAGCCAGCACTTACAAGCTCTCTTTTTGAGGACGAATCACTTGCCCTGGCCCGGAAGCAGGTCAGCTACAACACACCCATCCCAACACACTGGCTGAGAAGAGACCAGCAGCCTCTCAAATCCTCTTCTTCTGCCTTCAGGCCAAGGCTGGCCTTAGGAGGAGGCAGAATAGATGGAATCCTCAAATGGAGGTACAGGATAGGGCTCCTGTCCTCCCCTCATCTCTCACTTTGAGCTGTTGATTGTGCCTATTTTCTCTCCCTCTCCTGCATCTTCCCCTTCTCCCTTTCTCTACTGGATCACTGCATTAGCATACAGAAAGTTCTAGCTGGTCCCATATTTAAAACACAAAACCAAAACACCTCCCTTGAACTCACTGCTACTCCAGTCACTATGCTGTTTCTCTGCTCCAATTGCCAAATTTATGGGAGGAGTTGGTGTCTCCATTTTGCCAACCTTCAATCATTCTTAAACTTTTAATTAATACGATTTTGTGATTTCATCATGTAACGCATCAAAGAATCTATGCAACACATGTAAATTATGAACATAATAAAAATTAACATCTATAAATCCAGAAAACCAAACCTAAGAATTAAAACATCCCATATAATAAAGATATAATATGCAAATGGTCATTACGTAATGACCAATGACCGACCCATAACGACCAGATCACAGATCAGCAGGAGGGTGGAGCAGAGAGCTACAAGCTTGTGGCAGAGAGCTACAGGAGGGGGCAGGACAGCAAGCTATAGGGGGGAGGGGGGGGCAGCGGGCAGAGAGCTACTGGAGGGCGGCGGCAAGTTACTGGCACATGGATTCATGCACAGGGCTACTAGTTATTAATAATGTTGAAGAGACTTATGTGCTCCCCTTTCCTTACCCTACCCCCTCTCCACAACTATAAACACTGTAGTCAAACTGTTGAAAACCGAAGAGAAAAATCTTAGGAGCCAGAGATAAAGGTCACATTACATTTAGGGCAACAACAATAAGAATGATGGTTGCTTCTCACTGGAAACTGGAAATCAACAGTGTAGACAGTTCTAAATGCTAAAAGAAACAACATTCAAGTTGTTCTACATCCAGTGGGAAAAAAAGCCTTTAAAAAATGAAGGCAAATAAAGATATTTCTAGACAACTGAAGCTGAGAACATCAGTTACCAGTAGATCTGCACTACATAAAATTCTAAAGGAATTTCCTTTACAATGTATGAATTCCCTTCATACTGAAGGGAAAGGCCCTAGACTGAAATCAGGATGTGAAGAATGAAAGAAACACAAGATATAAGTATGGGGTAAATATAAAATACTGTTTTATGTCTTAAAATTTTCAGTAAGTCCACTTTTAAGTCCTTCAGAGACCCCAAGCTGAGATGATTAAGGTGCCCTTGCCCAAATATAATTCACAATGAAGTCTAAAATAAATCAGACACATAAAGAAGATAGTAAGTTCTGATTGATCCCATGGTGACTATTGCAATGTTTTTAAAAAAATATATGTAATTCTTAAAATTCCTCTCCTCCCCCAACCCCTTAATTTTTGGTGGCTCTACTTGTGCCTTAAACACATACTTGATCCCTAGGTTAGTTGGCACTGGCTGGCACCCAGCCAAGAGCATGGCTCAGAAAACGTAGGTACAAATGCATCAAGTAGTGAGAGAGGCCATGAGCAGTGAGGATGACCAACCTCCTGAGGTTTCCTGGATTGTGGGACTTTCAGTGCTGAAAATGGGACCGTTTTGGGTGTGAACTGTGATGACTGGTTACCCTAACGAGGACCCAGAAATGAGGTCTTAAGGAGAGAGCTGACCCTGAGATCAGCAAATAATATTTTGTGAGCAAGAAAGAAAAGAGACTGGAGCACTACCTGGTTTGAGCATTGGCCTGCGGACTGAAAGGTTGCAGGCTTGATCCCTGGTCCCAGAGGGGTGCGTGCAGGAGGCAACCAGTCAAGTGTCTCTCTCACGTCGATGTTTCTCTCTCTCCCCACTTCCCTTCCATTCTCTCTGAAAAGTCAATGGAACAAATATCCTTGGGTGATGATTAACAACAACAAAAACTAGACTTGTTTTTTAACTGAAGCGAAAATTCTTTCTCCCTCTCCCATATTTTTATCGTATGTTTAATAGATCAAAGACAGTATGTTCCCGTGGGAGTCGGCACATTATGAAGGCAAAAACACAGGGCAGGAACATAAGTTCTGCTTGGCAGGTGAGGGATAACAGCTCCAAGTGGCTCACAGACCTCCCTTCCCAAGGGGCATGACTCACTGACCCTTCACCCACTTGGCTGATAGGGGGAGAGGGAAAGGAAGCGGACAGTGTCTGTTTCTTTCCTCCAGGGTAATTCTCGCTATCAGGTAACAATTTTATTAGCCTGGTGTTATTTATAAGGATCCTGAGACTCGGAAACTTAGCTACTGAGTAGCAGATTAAGTATTTCACTCCCTGGAAGTTTTGCTCACAAGCTTGTGCTTGCTGCTTGGATGTAGTCCCATGACCCTCAAGTAAATGCTGATGGGTATGTATGGGACATGCAAGGAAGATGCAGAGAGGAAAGAGGTGAGCTGATGACCACAACCAGACTAGGAACAAAGGCCACAAAAATGCAGAGTTCCTGGGTGGGGACTCAGAGAGGATGTACAAATTTGATAAAAACTGAGATGTGTGGGGACTTAGGTTGATCCATGTGCCAAATCAATGAGATGTCCTGGAAATGGTGCTGGGGAAGTTGAGGGAGAGAGAGAGAAGGAAAACCAGTAAAAGGACCAGACATCTAAAGGCTTCTCTTTAGGACTATACCCTCAGGCTCTTAGGGTACTTCTGCACTGACCCCATCTGTCATCAAAGTAGGCTCTGGGAAAGCATAAAAAAATGTTTAAATGTTAATGGCAAAATAAAGTCTACTTAAAAGAAGGCAAATTGGCTAGAAAAATACACCATAAGACAAGTGTCACAATTTTAAGGTGGTGTAATGAAAAGCATAGAGTTTGGAGTCATACATTTAGAGTGACTTACTAGTTGGGAGACCCTGAGCAAGTGACTGAATCTTTATGCATCTCTATAAAATAGAAATAATAATACCTAGTAGGTTGGCCTGGGAAGCTCTGAGCCTCAGTTTTCTCATTTTTTTAAATGGGAATAATAACAGTACCACCTCACTGCATCATTGGAAGAAAGAGTTTATATATGTAAAATACTTAGAATAATGTTTAGTGCATAGTAAGCATTAAATAGGGGTTAGTAATTATAATTAATAAACAAGCTAATATGTTTTGCCCATAGTGCATGTATTATTCTCTGAAATTATCTTGTTTTTTTTAAAGTTCCATGAGGCAGGTGCTTTGTGCCTAGTTTACCCCATGATTGAGAATAGTGCCTGGCAGGCAGCTGTACTTCACGGCACCTTTCTCCACAACATCACTGCAATTACTCTTTCAAGGCCACCAATGACCATCGTGCTGCCAAATCTGAAAGACAACCCATTCTCCACTCAGCACCTTGGATGAAGCCTTTAAAATTGAATTAGCTCTCACTCTTCTGCTTAACACACTTAGATGGACAGCCCTGCCTTTAGAATAAAATCAAAAGTCCTTTCCATGATTTACATGTCCTTCATGATCTGGCCCTTTGACTCATTATGTCAGTCTCTACGTTCCAGTGCCACGAGCTCCGAGTCAGTTCCTAGATCAGGCCAAGCTCTTTCAGCCTGAGGGTCTTTGCATTTGTTGTGTTCTCTGCCTGGTATACTCTCTCCAAGCTGCTTACACGGCTCCTTCTCAGTATAGTACATTAAGTAGTTAGGAACACCGATTTTGAAATCAAACTGACTGGTTTCCAGTTCAGGCTCTACCATTTACTACCTGTGTAAGGCAAGTTATTTAATCTCTGTGTACCTCAATTTCCTCACCTTAAAGTAGGGAAAAAATATGTCCCTCCTTACGTTGCTGAAATATGTCAGTTAATATAAAGTGCTTAGAACTGTGCCTGGTACCAGGCAAGCACCACATTGGTCATCTTTCAGCTGAAATGCAGACTCTTCAGAGACCCTGTTTTTAATCAGAGTACCCAGTACTCACCACAATCTATAAATATTTTATTTTTTTGTTTACTCTTTGTGGTCCATGAAGACTTGGAATTTGTCTTATTTACTATTGTATACCCAGCACAATGCCTAATGATAAGTATATATTGAATGATTAGAAAAGTAGTTATTTTTCTTGCCACCCTCAAGGAAGGTTAAGTGCTGTGCCAAGGGGGAAAAGACAAGAGCTGGGATTTGGACCTATCAAGAGAACATGGCTAGAGAACCTGGATAGAACCTGGACAGAACCTGGCTGGAGAGCCTGGTGAGAGAACCTGGCTGGAGAACCTATTGAGAGAACATGGCTAAAGAACCTGGACAGAACCTGGCTGGAGAACCTAGCGAGAACATGGCAAGAGAACCTGGACAGAACCTGGCTGGAGATCCTGGCCACAGAACCATGCAAGAGAACCCAACTATGCTGATCAACTGAACGCTGCTGCCTCCGTGTCATTCCTTCTTCGCTGACTCCATCCACACCTTGGGGAACCCCTGGACCTGTTGGGGCTGGACCCCAACAAGCAGAGACCGACCCATTTTGCAGACAGAACTCAGTACGTATGAAAAATAACCACCCAGCCTCCTCCCTGTGCTGTGCACACATGAACACCTGGACTGTGGTGGGAGTGAGAGAATGAGAATCACACTCAGGGCAGGTCACAGCCAGTGTGAGGATAGAAACATGCTATTCAAATATCGACCACAAAAGGATTACTGTTAGGTTGGGGCACATAAGAAAAAGGGCCCAGACACCATGATTCTCTCTCATCATTGATGTATCTCTCTCTCTCTCCATCTCTCTTCCTCTCTGAAATCAATAAAAATATATTTAAAAAAAAAAAAAAAAAAGAGCTGGGATTTGCACGAGTGTTCCAACCACCTAACTCAGCTGAGGGATGAACAGTTATGCGGTGTTCCATAAACAAATAGCGATGCCACTGGTCTTCTCTTCATCCAGGCCTTCCTCAGCTGTCGGGTCTCCTAAGGTTGCACCTCCTGTAGCAGGCTTCCTCTGCTCACACCCACCGTGGCTCAGCGGAGCTCCCACAGCATTAGGTATGCATTTCTTAGCTGAGTCCTGCTTTTATGCTTCTGCACTGTTTCTTCTACATCATCTTAGCTCAGCGGTTCTCAACCTTCCTAATGCCATGACCCTTTAATACAGTTCCTCATGTTGTGGTGACCCCCAACCATAAAATTATTTTCGTTGCTACTTCATAACTGTAATTTTGCTACTATTAGGAATCATAATGTAAATATCTGATATGCAGGATGTATTTTCATTATTCAAATTGAACATCATTATAGCATAGTGATTAATCACAAAAACAATATGTAATTATATATGTTTTCCAATGGTCTTAGGCGACCCCTGCGAAAGGGTCCTTCGACCCCCAAAGGGGTTGCGACCCACAGGTTGAGAACCGCTGTCTTAGCTGATGATGCCCTGCCCTTAACACTTTTGCTCTTCACTTTTCCTGAGCTCCTTGCTCAATGTTGGGCCCACAGAATATGCTCAGTACAAGCTTGGAGAGTGACCCCACCACCTGCCTTTTCAGGAAGCCGGCCCAAGGTAGCTCTGCATTGTGTACACTTTCATGGACGAGATGATGACTCTACAGGAGAGAAAGTTCTCTTACCTGATTTGTTGTGACTGGTGGTGGCAAAGCTGTAGAGAATGACAGCATCCGCAGGGAGGCCTCCAACTGCTGGGGAGGCAAAAAAAAGTTGGGCACCACAATGGGCTCTGGGCTATCATGGTAGTTAAGGGACACATATACCTAGAAATCCTCCCACCTGCCAGACCAGCAAAGTCACTGGTCTCAATGATCCTTTCATCCCTCCCACCCCGACCCTGAACCTATTCCTGCCCATGAATCCTTTGCTCATGGTTCCCTCTCCCTGGAAGGCCCTCCCCACTCCTAACAAATCATAGTCTATGCTTTCTTTATGGGTCAGTTTAAATCCCACCTCCTCTGGGAAGCTTTCTCCTCATCTTAGCCCACAGTGATTCCTCCTTCTACAGCAGAGTTTGCAACACAAGATAATGCTTGATGCTTTAGTGTGATATGAATCTCAATGTGTTTTTCTCAAAATTCCCCCAAACTTCTCAAAAGCAAAGATGGCATAGTTTCCATCAGTGACCTATTTCCCTAGAGCACACATGAGGCCTTCAGACAAGGTGGCTCCAAGGGGCAGTGTCTTAGATTGGAGGGAGATGCCTAGTAAAAAAGGAGGGTCCCCCTGGTTCTTTTCTGTTTATACCCAGAAATGAGGGTTCTGCCTAAGTGGGCACAGCTGGTCCGCGCAGTCTGGATGTAAGCCCTTGGAGGCAGACACTGTATCTTGTACTTCTCCTTTGTATACCCTGCAGATATCCAGCACTGTGATGAGAATATTTGTTCAAGGCACTTATTCAGTTTGGGAGGGGAGAGATGGGGCCATTTTGATGTTTAATTTTTTGTTTCTGCTCAATAAGCTAAGTATGGTTCTGATTCAAACTGGCTTATCATCGTTCTCCCATGCAAGACTTTGAACTCCAAGAGGGCATAGATGATCTCGTTCATAGCCACATTCCTGTCACCTGGCATAGCACCTGGGACACAGTTAGTGTTCAATAAATACCCACCAAATGAATGAAATGCAGCATTTCCTGTTTTGGTTCAAGTCCCTGACCCTTCTTCAGAGGCCTGGTGAGGCAGGGCCTATGCTGTTGCTGCTCTGACTTCTGGGGACTCTGCTGGATAGTCAGCTGATGCTGTGGGGGAGGAACGGCTTTGCTGTGAGGTCTCAGGGGTATGTCTGAAACACTGGAAGTCCCCCTCTCCGCCCATCACCTCCTGCCTAAGGGTCCTGCTCCACCAGTAACTTCTGTCAATTATTAGATGATGACTTCAGGAAAGTTCACTTTTATGCCTGTTTCTTCATCAATAAAATGGATATACTAATAGTACCTTTTGTTTTGAGAATTAAGAGTTTTTACATGCAAAGTGCTGAGAATGGTGCCTGACACATAGCAAGCATTCGATGCCAGCTATTCTTGTCTCCCTGATTAATGGGAAAAAGTTGCTTTTTCGCACTGTCCTTACCACTGGTTCCCTCACCCACTGAAAACTGCTTTGCATTCTCCATTTTGCACTGTCCTCTTTAATGCTAAAGCCAGTGAACACAGGTCAGTCCATAATCTACTGGGCCTGTCTTAAGTGTCAGTGTTGACAACTAATTCCTGAAACTATGCTCCCATACGGCCTCTCCTGCTGCTCCAGCTCTGACCAGCTCTTCTCTGTGGGTATCTGTTCTGCCAACCGTTTACATATTGATCCTCAGGACTCTGTCTTGTGTGGTTCTCCCTTTCCATGTTCTCCCTGCTGCCCTAATCTATTTCCACAACCTACCTTTCTATCTGATCTCGTCCTGAGCTCCAGGCCTAGATGTTTTACAGGCACAGGTCCAAAATGGAAATCTGCTCTTTACCAGAATCTGTTTATCTCTATGTGAGGTTCCCTATCCAATAAATGACACCATTACCTAGTAACTTGTGATAGAGATATCCAAGTCATAGATACTTATCATACTTTGTTTTTCTCTTTGTCATCCTTTGTCCTTCTTATCTAACTAATCCTCTCAAATCTATCCCTCTCCTTTTCAACATCATTGATGTTTCTCTCTCTCTCCCCCACTCCCTTCTCTCTCTGAAATAAAAAAAAAATATATTAAAAAAATAAAGCAGTCTATGCTTTTGGTCAAACTTTCTTCTGGTCTCCTCTGATCTAATCCTCTCTTTATAGGGAACTGGGTGACTTTCCTAATATGTAAATCTGACCATATCATACTCTTGCCAGTTAACATTTACTGAACCCTATTTATGTACCAGGCACTGGACTAGGTAGTTTACATCATTATTTTAATTTTTACAACCACTGCAAGAAAAGGTCTATTATCTCCATTTTAAAGATAAGGAAACTGAAGTTTAAATTGCTTGCAGGACAGTCTAAGCACCTTAGCCAGGCATCCATGGCCCTTGAAGATCCAGTCCTACCTCACCTCTCACCGTGTGTTTACACGTGGGCTCTAGCCACAGTGAACTGCTCTGCCCAGAAGCTAGGCTCTCTCACCTGGCTATGCCCTGCATACACAATCCACTTTCTCACCTCTGTTTACAGAATGCCTATTCATCTCTGAGGTCCAGCTCTAAGGTCTCTTACTGGGATACCTTTAAGCAGTTATGGCAGCTTCCTCCTCTTGTTCCCCAGCACACAGTCCATGACTCATCACAACACTTAGAACACTAACTGTCATGGTCTGTTTACTGTTATTATCGTTACCTCATAATGGGAACTGCTTGAGGTAAAGTCTGATTAAAATCTCTGTTCTCAGTACACAGCACAGGGCCGGGCAATACTCGTTATTTTTAAAGAATAGTTGAGGGAAGGTCTGAATTAGGACCTGTGACTGCTCCTCCACTGAGCATAAATTCTGAGCACTGTAAAGGCAGCAGTGTCAGAAGCTGTAATAAGGGAGTCCAGGAAACAACTCCACCAGAGAGTTGGCTGTCAGTACTCAGCCTCCAGTCATTAAAGCCAACTGGTTAGGCTGCACATGTGAGGGCTGTTGATGGTCCTAAGTGGTTTCCTTTCTCCATAATGTGTCCAACTGCGTTTCAAAGGAGAAAGGTGCCCCCTCTCCCCATTAAACACTGCCATTTCAACTATGCCTACTTCCCCTCCTCTTGGCTCCATCACTTGCCTTAAAAAAAAAAAAAATTAGGCAAATCACTACAACTCTGAGCCTCAGTTTTCTTACATGCAAGACAGAAATAATACCCACCTTAAAGACTTGAGTTGACTGAGTAAAAAATGTATGTCTAGTGCCTGGCACAAAGTAAATGCTCAGTCAGTGGTAGTACTCTTCTTTCCCATCTGCACCCTCCACTTCCATTTCAACTGAGATTAGAGGTCTCATTCCTCGGGCCAGCTGTAAAATACCCAATATACCAGGACAGGCTAATGAATGTGCTCCCAACACCCTAAACCCAGTTAAAAACACTGTGCTTCAGAGGGCTGGTGTTAATGGGAGAATTGGAGCACCTTGTCAGTGCAGGTGAGTCTTTTGAAGGATCTTCCCATGCCCCTCAGTAAATCCCATGAAGGTGGTAGCCACTGCTCATGCCCACTAGGCTGGCCTAAGCACCAGCATCCAAAATGCCTACATTGGGCTACTTGTGGGAAACCGTCAAAGGATACAGAAGGAGATTCTGCTTTGTGGAAACCTCTGATTCAGATGTCGCCTGCTTCTGCCTGATGTCAGGGCAGTTGATGGGTAGTCCCTTATG